GCCAATGAAGATATTTTTTTTGGATATATGGCGCCCGCTATTGGATTACTTACCTGATGATCTGAAGAAAACCATAGTGAGAGTTTGTCAGGACAAATGTGTAAATGACTGGTAGACCGAATTATATATACTGTATTAGTTTTTCGTTTACATGTCTCAGACTGCTTATTGTGTTTGTTTTCTCTCTGTTGTTGTTGTGGTAGTTGTTTTTGTCTTTTCTTTCTTTTTCTTTTTTTGTATAGAGGAAAAAGTAAATAAAGATATGATGAAGAAAGAAAACCTGGATGGCCTCAAATTTTCTTACCTTCAACGGGGATAAAACTGAGGTAATTATTTTTGGACCAAGCTGTAATTTCAATGCCCCAGATTTGGATTTATGTAACCTAACATGTGCTGTTAAAACGCATGTAAAAAAAACCTGGGGGTTTTTTGGATAGCAAACTTACATTCAAGAAACAAATTAATTCAGTTGTCCAGCGGTCCTTTTTTAAAATAAGGCTCCTATCTTTTTTATCCTTTAGAAACTTGGAACGAGCAATTCATGCGTTTGTTTTATCTCAACTGGATTACTGCAATTCACTATATGTGGGTGTCAGTCAGTCCAGCTTGGCCCGGCTCCAACTTGTACAGAATGCTGCAGCTCGCCTTTTGACTCGTGTGAAGAAACACCAAGTTCGTGTCCAAATTCATGGGCTGCATCCTCCTGAGGCCGCATTTGTAGACCGATTACGTCACAGCGACGCGCCGAAGGCTGTCCAAATTCGTATTACTCCGGTGCTTGCTTCCCTTCATTGGCTTCCGTTTTAGAATTAAATTCAAAATCTTACTTTCGACTTATAAAGTGCTAAATGACCAGGCACCGGACTTTTTGTCTGACCTATTGTAGCTTTATACGCCCTCTAGTGCCCTTCGATCAAGCGACCACCTGCTTCTTACCTTACATAAGTACAACACCAACACGACGATATCAGATCATCCGGTTCGCACGGGAGATCGGGCATTTGCGGTTGTGCCACCGAAAATGTGGAATGATCTACCTCTCCACATTAGAAAGGCCCCAACTGTTACTCTTTTTAAATCGCATCTTAAAACATATTTTTTTTACTCTGGCTTTCGAAACTGTATGAGAGTTATCAATTATTTTATCCTAATTTTCTTTTAATTTTCTTACCTGTTGTTGTTGTTAATGTCATTGTTTAATTGCTATTTTGTACAGCACTTTAGTCAACTCCCTGTTGTTATTAAATGTGCTTTATAAATAAATAAATGAAAATGAAATCTCTTTGTTGCGGCGTTCAGGTAAAGTGTGACCTCAAACCCACCTGAGCGTCGAACAGCTGCCGGTAAACTTCCCCGCTCGGAACCGCGGTGCTCTCACACATGACGATGAGGCTTGCTGCAATCTTCAGTCTTCAGTCCAGGCTGACAGAAACACTGTTTAATAACCTTTCTTTCTGTTGTCACACACACTAAACCATGTACCTGCTCGGGCTGAGCGTTTTTCCCGTCACCATGACAATGTAACTTGGACGAAAGCTGTGTGGCGTTCCGGGTCAACGGGAAAAGTGTGCACTCTGTTTGCAGTTCCAAGAAATCAAACTTTTCTTACATTTTTACCACTTTCCTGGTGTGAAGGAGTAAAAAGAAGGTAAAACGCAAGTAGCACCGAAGCACCTAAAACCAGTATGGACAACCAAAGCGATAGACCGAGAAAAACACAGCTTTAGTTATTTGGGCCAACTGTCCCTTTAAATAAACATTGTCATAAACGGAAGCACCGAGACCTCGTCCATGTGTCGAGATGGTTCCTCAAACTGCAGTGAAATAAAGTCCAAACATCCAGTTTGAGGTTCCTCAAAGAGCAAAATGACAGCTCCAGTTGGCCTTTTCTTCAGACTGTGTCACTCATCAGTTCTGTATTTCATTTTTTTTTTTCACATTTATGTAAATTATTTGAAAATTGCTAGAAAGCAAACCTACTGTAGCTGAAATACTACATGTTGTGGTTATTACTGTTCCAAAATGTAGCTGAAAGTGAACATAAATAGCTGGAGAGTAAACTTTGCTGGTCTCCAAAACCAGAGAGTGATACAGACTCCTGTTAAAATTAGGAGCTTTAAAGCAGAGCAGGAGCCTTACTGTCAGATATCCTGAGGTGGAGGGGATTCACTCTATCAGGAGAGACCAGGAGCTCTGAAGAAAATATTGGATCACCTGTCAAAATCTGAAAATTCATCAGCGATAGAAGAAAACTGAAAAATCAGTGCAAGAGCTGATCTTATTATCTCCCTCAGTGATTAACTGTGCTTTATTAAACATTTGCTGCTAATTAAATAGAAAAATAAATCTTTTTGATTGATTAAATACTGAAAAAAGACAAAAATCCAATATGTTCTTCTGGGCAAAACAAAACAAAGTTATATCCTGATTCTAATAATTTAACATCCACAACACTTTATACAAAAATCAAACTTAAGAAATTAAATAGGAATAACAAGAAACAGAGTTTTGAAAAATGTTTTATGACATCAAGCTCAATTTATAAATTCTTTAAATCCCACAGTAAAATGAATTTTAACAAAGTTCTTAAATCAAACTTCACAAAAATGAAATCACATTATTTTGGTTGCCTGTTCTGCTCATGCTTGGCTCTATGTTTTTTTTTTTTCTGGGTTTCAACTACAAGATCATCTTTTTTTGTTTAATCTTATTTAAGTTCTTCCTTCTCAAAAAGACTGAGCCTCCCTGTTTCAACGGCTTCTGGAGGCCTCCCGAAGAGCAGCACCTGTGCTGATGATCTGTACTGTCTGTAGTTTGTAGGCATTCTGTACCTGCTGCAGGTGACTATATAAATAAATTTGTGACAAGCTGACATCAGTTTGTGATGGAAGCCAGAAAAAGAAAAAGAAAAAAGGAAGCTGAAAACATAATCCAGAATTTTGGCTCGCAGGCATTACTTCTACACATCACTGTCATTATTTGAAACTTTTAGCATGTTCATAATAAAGACAAGCCACACTGTAAATTACATATAGACAGAAGTAAAGAAGAAAAATCAGATTATGTACACTGCAACAAAAGTCATCAATAAAAAATATGGGTTATTGGGGTGTTTGAATGCCGTGGAAAGTGACATTCAGACAAGAAAAAAGAAAAATAAACATTGTTAATAAATAATAACTATCTATTTAATTTACCCTGAGTACCTAATTATTCAAAGTTAATTGTAATTTTTAATTAAAATTTTTTAAAAGCCATTAGTAAACTTTTAATTGGTTTTATAATGTCAATAATTTGTGTTTAAAATAATGGTAATGATATCAATTATAATTTTATAGCATTTATGTTTCATTATGTATTCAATCATAGCAGATAAGACACGCTAACTGCATTCTGCAGACATAATGATTTTAGTGTCCATGCAACATTCATCAAAATAGTAAAGTGAGACCAGTTTCAATTTCAAATCATTATATTTTAAACCAGGATCTCTCCTTAAAGCTAGTGAAAGAAACAAGAACAAAAACAGCAGCCTCCAGGTTCACAGCCGCTGATGTCAAGCCTACTTATACAAAGTAAATACTGTATACTAAACATCGCTTCATTATTTATAATAACAATCCAATTAATATGTAGCAAAGCAGATTTGGATCCACTGTTTGGTCATGGTCTGGTCTTTCTGTGCTTTTCCTAAGTTGAAATCTTATTTAACAGGCGGAGAGTTCTTTTTGTCTTTGGGATCGTATCTCAGAGAGCAATGGCATGTAAACATGAATATTTAGCTTTCATGCTTTAACTTGGAAAGATTATTTAAAATCGCTAAAAACCATATGATGTACAACTGTACATCTCTGCATCACCCAACATACCACATCTTCTCATTGCTCTTCTCACTGATCACATAACTACATACATCATAGACACTAGTTTAACTAGTGTGCTACCAGAAACAGTGCCAGTGCAGAGCCAATTCTGACTTGGTGAAAATCATGGCAGACAGAATCTGTAAGCTGCATTTGCCCTTCCCATAGTCACCAGCAGCAGTGGTTTCAACTTTGGACACAACAATTTTATGTTAGGAACAAAGTTTTTAGCATCAGTAAGAGTCATTTCTTGTGGAATTTTCTGGACCTGGGTCTAGATTGCCAACTATGGGAAAAGCAATAAATGTGTCCATTCCATAGACTGTATGTTAAAGTTGGACAAATCTTCATGAAAGTGCCTGAATTATTTCTAATGGCCAGGAGGGGGCGACTTCTCTGGTTGCAAAAAGACTTCCAGTTGTGTAAAAATTAATAAGAAAATCACAAGTTGTCAGCCAATGAGCACGTGGCATTTGTTTTTGTGTTTTTTTTTCATCAAAATGCTCAGTTGAAGGCTTCACCAACCTAGAAGTGATGTCTCATTGGGTGCATCCATCTTCTACATCAGCTGAAAGCACCTTCTGTTTTCATACGCCTTAACTGTGGAATATCCCACCTCGTTATATCAGAATTATGAGCTCTGTCAGTGATTTTAAAGGAAAATTTCCCGCGTTTAATGTGAAATATTAATACATATATTATAGTTATAAGGGGAATCCAGAAAAGTGTCTAGAAGTGACATGACCACCAGGGATAATAGAAAGTCAATGGAATTCAGTTATGTCAAGATGAAATAACCTTTGGCGATGCGCAGTGGGCGGGTCTGAGTTAAACTTTTCTCAACTTCAAGCTGAGCATTTTAAATGACTACCGGTGAATCCAAAGATGCTGCTAATTCACAAATGAAAGGGTGGTAAATACCTCAGCGACGTACCTAAGCAGCTTGAAGCTGGAACGTCTACTCGTGACCAATCGTCTGCTACAAAATTTCTACAAACTGCTTCCTCTGTCAACTCCCCTTAGGGCCAGATTTTCTAACGGTCAGCAGCAGCAGCGCATAACCCTCATCAGGTTCATCAGTTCGGATCCTTATGACTCACTAGGTTGTGCTGCTCTTGGTTCATTTCTCATTACTGAAATAAACTGGCTGGATCTAGTTTTTAAATGAGCGATTTTATCAAGTGAGATGCAGAATTTCCTCTCCCATCTCTGCACTTTTGCAAATGCAGCATCACACAATCTTGCATCCTTCAGTAAATCTGGCCTTCAGTTTTTAGGTTGACAGTTGTGATGTATTGTTGCTATTAAGTTTACATTTTTTTTTTCTTTAAGTCCTATTAGAAATTCTTGTATTAAACATAAACAGCTATATGTTGTCTTCATTTGTCTGAAGTAAAACTTAATTGCTGCTTCTTACAGTTGTTTTGGTGTTGCCATGTGGAGCACTTTGAGCTGCAGGTTGATAAAAATATGCCATGCATTTAACGTTAAATACATTCATGGCGTCACATCAGTCAGAGTCGGTGATGTCGCTGCTGTCGTCGAGGTTACAGGCTATATAGTCTGTACTGTTGAGCTTTGACCTGACGGCTCGCTTCCTGTTGGAAATAAGAACACAGTCATACTCACACTGTATGCATGTACAGATGTATAGAAATAAAGTTTAAAAAAGCCAGTACTAACCTGCGGTACACAAAGTTTGAACGACCTCTAAAACAGACTTCTGCTTGCTCCTCCTGTAGACGAACAGACAGGCTTTGAAGTCTCTTCCAAACACCATGAGTTAAATTAGCAGTGTGAATAAGGCATGTAGAAATTACCCATGATACAGTATTACTGGATTTGAAGCCAGGCTCGACGATTTCTCCTGAAGAGTCATTCTGCTGCGGCTGAGCCTCGTCATTTTCCCCCGACGTCCCGCTGCCTGTTCACACAAAACCACTGCACGTGACATCACCTCACATTACCCCATGTCATCTCATCACATGACATGACTGACCTTTAGCAGTGCTCTTTGGAGGCTCCTCCTCTTCCTCGCTGCTCACACTCCTTTCACACTGAGGACAGAAGCCGTTGTTATTACCTCATCAATACTTCACCTTCATAAAATCCCTCCTCCTCCAGCTCCTCCAGCTGCTCCTCACCTGATGAGAGTTGGAAGTGATTCTGCGGAGGCGTGTCCTCAGCTGTAGCTCCTCCCCCTGTGACCTCAGCAGCAGAAGCTCCAGCCTGTCCATTTGCTCAGTCAGCTTTCTGACCTGCTCCATGTACTGGTCTTTCTCCTGCAGGAGTACCCGTGCCTCCTCATGTTTCTCTGACTGCGATGACAGCGCCTGAAGAACCGACCAGAGTTAACACCCACCAACATTCTGCCCCACCTCCCGTTCTTATCCCTTCTCCTTCTCAGGCTCCTCACCTTTTCTCTCTCCCTGATCACCTCTTCCAGCTGTCTCACAGTTTGCTTGTTTTGTTGGCGGTAGATCTTGGCATCTCCTTTCAGCTGAGCACAGCGCAGTTCCAGTTCCTCTTTCTCCTCCAAACTCTGAAAACAA